GGCTGCGGGGTGGGGGTGGGGCCTGTGAGTCCTACAGGGGGCGGGCTCTGCTGGGTGGAACTGTGGACCAGGGCTGGATGGGCCTGACCGGTCGAGCACATCAGGCACTGTGGGCAGAAAGCCGTACTGGGAGTCTAAGCCCCCTTTAGGCCGGGCTATCCCAGGACAGATAACACGCCTTGTCTTGTGGCTTGTGGCTGGTCCCGTCTGGGGGGACTGGCTGGTCAGCACTGAAGCATCCTGCTGCTGGCGAACCGAGGCCCAGTGTCGCCATCCCCTTTCACTCCCTGGCTGCTGACTGGAGGGCTCTTCCTGCCAGGGTCTGTGCTCTCGCCGCCAAGGGAGAGGAGGGGTGGGAGGTGGCACATCTGCCATCCTCCAGAGAAGGGCTGCTGGAGGAGGCCAGGGCCTTCCCGTCCTGCCCTCATAGACTTTGCTGACCTGGCAGAGGTGTGACAGGCTCTAAGGACTCCCTGTTGGCTGTACAGTGTACCCCCTTATCCGCGGGAGATACGTTCCAGGACCCCCAGTGGATGCCTGAAGCCTGGCTGCCCCGGGCCCTGTCCGTGCTGCGCTCTCTCTGCGTGAGCACCCCTTTCTCCGAAGCGCCAGCATCACTGCCCTTGTGCTTTGGGGCCATTATTAAGTAAATAAGGGTGACTGAACACAAGCACAGTGACACCAGACAGCCGATCTGATAACCGAGGCAGCTACTGGTGACAGGTGTGGGAGCATCTGCAGTGAGGAGACGCTGGACACAGGGATGAACCACGTTTGGGGCAGGATGAATTGTCACACTGCTCACGATGGGCTTAATTTAAAGCTTATGAGGGCCGGCCGAGTGGCTCAGTCGGTTAAGAGCTCACTCAAGAGTGTGAGTCTGAGCAACAGGGTCGCTGGTTCGATTCACGGCCCGAGCTGAGCTGCCGCTGAGCTGCCAAGAGGTGGCAGAATGGCTCAGCTAAAAAATATATATATGTATGTAAAGCTTATGAACTGTTTGTTCCCGGAACTTTCTGTTTAATATTTTCCATCCGTAGTTGACTACGGATCATGGAAACTGAGAAGTGAAACTGCGGATAAGGGGACACTGTTCCGAGCCCATCAGGGTGTCAGCGCTGACCTGGCACAAGCGTGGCCAGCTCTCTCCTCCCAGGACCCCTGCGGCTGCTGGGTCTGTGAGCTTGTTAGCTCCCCGAGTCTGAATAACTTGCACCATTTTTGGTTTTCCTCAGTGCCTGGTTTAGGCCTGTTCCTGGATAGGGAAGACACTTTTGCAGTCTCAGGAGGCCATTTTCTTTTTGTTCAATTTGACATTTTGACATGTAAGAAGGGATTTCCATAGAATATGAGTTGTATTGCTCTCTCATCTGTCAGCTGCCATCTCCTGGCGGAAGTAGCCCAGTCTGTCTGAGTGGTTGCTGAGCTGATTGTCCTGCGGCTTTGTGACCTGTCGTGTCCGAGGGTCTCGGTGTCCTGCCCTGGGCCTTTTCCGTTTGATGGGAACACCAGGACGGCCTGTTGGGACTTTGACATGAGATGCGCTGTGCGTGGACTTGGTGGGGAGGAGCACGCCCACTCATGTGGGCCGGCTGTGCGTGTGTGCCGCGGTTCTCAGCTGCATGAGCATCGGTTCATGTGCTGGGTGTCACCACGGCACGCCGAGGTCAGTGTCTGTTAGAGAAGCTCGGGGGCAGCCCTTGCTGTTTGAGGAAATGGCCAAAGAATACCTGTCATTGTTAGTAATTCACAGCAAAATTTATGTGTGCTTCATTGCCTCTCGTTTTCTAGTTCATTTATGATTTTGCTCCGTTTCTAGTCTTTTCAGTCTCTTTAACCCACTTAAAAAAAAAGGTTTTCCTTCACGCCAGTATGTTTAGAGTAAATGTGTGTTAGGTTGGAAGTTGTATCCTGTGGGGTGTTGCCCCTCCCTGGCACCTCCCCTGTACCGCCCCTCCCACCCCGCCCCTTCCACTTCCCCACTCACTCGTGTCTCATCGTAACCACTTCACTGGGCTGCATCTGTTTCCCAACGGATGTGGGGCGACAGGAGAAAGTTACGCAGCCCTGTCCACTTGTCAGAGCCGTGTTTGAGACATGTGTGATGCTTTGTAGACATCGGCTTCTGGAGACTTCTGCCACCTTGGGTGCTGGGGCACCTCTGCTGCTCCGCCAGCTGCTCCGCCAGTTGCACCTGCCTGGCCTGGCGGTCTTAGACACGTCCAGTCTCAGTCCCATCAGCAAGTCCTATTTGCAGAGAACTATGTCGTGACAGGACTGCTTAGCTGGGGACAGGGTGGGCTCCTCCTGGGAGGAGGGAGGGCAGAGCAGGGTGGGGGGCGTCCCCTGACAGGAGCTGCTGGCCATACGGGGAGATCAGAAGCCCACTGGCTTACCGTTTGCTCGTCATTGGTCTGCACAGATGGTGCTCGGCCCTTCTGAAAACCGTCTGTCCCGCACCCACGCCCTGGGGCCATCTCTGTGTGAGGCACTAAATGGGTCCCCAGGGCCACGCAGGATGCTCAGACATGCCCCTCTCCTCCAGTGTTGGGGCACAGAAGGGAGATTTTGTTTTGAGTGTCTCTGTAGGAGATGCGCGAGGCACTGGCAGGGTGCCTGGGCCTTAGCTCACCTCCTGGGCCCTTCCCCCATGGCTCTCCTCCTCAGCTGGCACACCCACACCGGGCGATGATCCTGAGGGCCATGCAGACAGTCGTGAGCAGTCACATCAGCGAGCTGGACAAGGACATGGCCAGGGCTGTCATCCTCTTGGCCTCCAGCGAGATGACCAAGGTGAAGGTACGCAGGTGCCAGCCGAGCCCCCTCACTGTCCTGCCCACCCCAGCGCGTGAGGACGTGGGCTCATGTCTGCTGCCCGGGGTCAGCCCTCCATCCTGCCCTCCGACTGCCCTCCTGGGCGGGGAGGGCCACCTGTCATTTCAGAGGAGACTGAAGCAGAGAGAGTTCCTGACCTTTCAGGGTAAATGTAGGGCCCGCGTCCTGTGTCTGGGGGACATTGTCCTTCCCCCTTGGTGGAGGGGCAGCAGCCTGGGGGTGGGGGTGGGGCTGGAGGTCTCTGACAGGCGCTCGCTGGGGAGCCCAAAAGCAAGCCGCTTTTCCTTAGAGGCGGTGTCTCATGCTTGCCTCTCGGGCGACCCCAGGGCGCGCTCCTGCCCGCTCCCCTTGGTCAGAGCGTCAATTCCCACTTTCCTCGGTGCAGGACTTGGTCTGTGACTGGCAGCAGGCTGCCAGCGATGTCCTGGTGGCCGTGGGGAGGCGCTTCATCAGCATGGTGATGGAGGAGCTGCTGCACGGGCTCCAGCCCGGGGTCCTGCCACACTACTTTGTGGTGCGGACCTTGGCCAACCTCTCTGTGTCCAATGGTAGGTGGTGGCTTGGCCTTAACCCTGACCGTCCTGGGCGCCTGTGTCTCGGCAGCCTTGCCCCTACCCCGGGCTGATCACACAGCGCTCAAGGTCCTGCTGCCATGCCAGTGGGGTATCCCTGCCTCTCCCGGGGGCACAGGCGTGGGAAAGCGGGGGAACGGGGACAGCAGGGCCTCTGTGACGCGCCCCCTTTGCAGTGTTCGGCACGGTGCCCTTCCTGACGTCCATCCTTGGCACCATGCTGCCCATGCTGGCTGCGGCCAAGCACGACACCATGAGGGGGGTGTTCTGCTATGGTAAGTCGGGGTCCCCTTGGGCAGAGCTGGGCACTGCCTGCCCACTTCTCGGCCTTCTGTCTCCAGTGCCCCTTTGTGGGGGGCATGGGTCCTTTAGGCTACGAGAAAGTGTGACAGGTAGAGGGAGGGTGACTGCAGAGCACGTCACTCCAGCCTCTGCCTCCGTTGTCACTCGGCCGTCTTCTCCCTGTGTCTGTGTGTCTTGTGAGGATAGTCCCGTTGCACTGGAGCCCACCTCCCCGCTAGGACCACATCTTAACAATGAAATCTGCAAAGAGCCTATTTCCAAAAGGGCCACATGCTGAGGTCCTGGGAAGCATGTGAACTTGTGGGGACACTACAATGCAGTCCTGGAGTCCTGGCTTGGCCAGTGTACCAGGGGGTCTTGCAGGCTGTGGGTGGAGAAGGTATAACCTGCAGGGCAGGTGCTGAAACCTGGGCTGCTTGCCGCCCGGCTCACCACAGCCCTGCAGCACTTCAGTGAGAGCACACTTGAGTACCTGGCCAACCTGGACCAGGCCCCAGACCCCACGGTCAGGAAGGACGCCTTCGCCTCTGACATCTCCAGCGCCTACGACATCCTCTTTCACCAATGGCTGCCAAGCCGTGAGGCCAAGGTATGGCACCACCTTGCTTGCCGCCCTCTCCCACCCCCAGCCGCCCGCCACAGGTCCCTTCCATCTCCTGGGCCTCTTCTGTTCTGTGGGGAGGGGGATAGAACCATCTGTCTACACATGCCCCCTCCCGGTGCCCTGCACTCAGGATTGTGGGTCTTGTTGCAGTGGAAGTGCCCTGTGCAAGGTCTCACCTGCGGGTCCACAGAGTGCCTGCAGCTTGTTTCTGAGCCCCAGTTGCCATGGAACACCCCTTCTACCCCCACCTCACTCTGCCTGGGGCCTTGGGCTGCCTGGTGGAGGGCTGAGGTGTGATGACAGCACAGGCCTGGTCCCTTTAGCACCCTTGGTCACGTGGTACCCTGGGTTTGCCCCCGTATGGCCCTGGTTTCTCAGTGGATGGGCTCTTGGCTTCTCTGTCCCGTGTGGATGTGAGCCCTGGTTTATGTCGCTGTGCCCTCTCAGCTCCGGCTCGCCGTGGTGGAGGCCCTGGGGCCCATTAGCCACTTGCTGCCCAGCGAGAAACTGGAGGAGCAGCTCCCCAAGCTGCTGCCCGGCATCACCACCCTCTACAAAAAGCACGCCGAGACCTGCCACGTGTCCAAGGTCCGGTCTGAGCACTGCCGTTCAGATTCAGTGGTGGGTGGGGACCGGCCAGGCTTCTCCCCAGTGCCCTGCCTGGCCCTCGCCCAGTGTCCTTTTTCCCAACCCCTGCCCTCCCCTCTGAGTTCTGGAGACAGAAGTAAGCTGGGGCTGAGGCTTCAGGGGGCACTAAGGGCTCCTCTGCCCAACAGAGCCTGGGCCAGATCCTGGAGGCTGCTGTGAGCGTGGGCAGCCGCACACTGGAGGTCCAGCTCGACTCTCTCCTGGCTGCGCTGCACACTCAGGTGGGCTGGGGGCAGGAGTGGGGGTTAGGGGCATGCCGGGGGGTGAGGTCACGGAGCACGTTACAGTGCCCTGCGGCGGGGGCCTCCCTCCCTGTGAAGGTGCCGGCTGAGGGGTGCAGGGAGCTAGAATCGGGGTGAGTGCAGCTGTCGCAGACACAACTACATTGTCATCTGCTCAACACTGGCACATGCAGTGTGACAGTGGAGACCCTAGCAAAGAGGTGGCAGGAGTGATGGCCTGAGATGGGCTGGGAGCATTTGCCTGGGTGTGGGTCCCCAAGGACTGAGTGGGGCGAAGCAGGGGTGCAGGGAGGACGGGGGGCAGCGAGGCCCATCAGCTGTGCAGGGCCCGCCCCTCAGGGCAGATAAGAGGCGTGGAGGTCATGGGACTCGTGGAGGGTGGCAAGGGCTCCTGTGTCACACAGAAATAGATCAGGGAAGATATCTTCTGATCTCAATGGATGCAGAAAAAGCTTTAGATGAAGTTCGACCCCATTTTATCATTAAAACTCTTAGCAACTAGGATTAGAGAGGAATTTCTTTAACTTGGTAAAGTTTATATCCCAATCCCTTAGCATACATCATGATGAGTGGGGCAACAAGTATAGTCCCTTCAGGGCAGGAAGAATCCACGCCCCCCACACACACACTGTTAATGGGATCCAAAGCCAACTCTATGAGGAGAGAAACCATTAGGGAGGCGTGAGGCGCGGGAGACAGGCAGGCTGTCTGTCATAGTTGCCTCACCTCCCAGCCACCCTCCTTCCTGGCCCCGGTTCCTGCCGGTTTTCCTCTGTGGCACTTATCTCCTTTTATTGTACAGGGGACCCTTGAACAATGTGGTCTGAACCGCGCGGGTCCACTTATTTGCGGTTTTTTTGGTAACTACTGTAAATGTATATTCTCTTCCTTATGATTTTATTAACACTGTCTTTTCTCCAGCTGACTTTATTTTAAGCATAAAACATATACATAGAAAATATGTGATAATCAGCTGTTTGTTATCAATAAGACTTCTCAGTCAACAGTAGTTACCTTCTGGAGGAGTCAAAAGTCGTGTGTGTGTTTTTGACTGCCTGGGAGTCGGCACCCCTAAGCCCGCATTGCTCAAGGGTCCGCTGTGGTCAGTAGCTGACCGTTGCCTCCCTGCTAGGATGGACTGTGTGTGAGGCGGAGTTTTGTCTGTTTCATTCACTGCTATGACACCCAGAATAGCACCCGTCCCTTGTAAGCAGTCAGTGGTGTTTGTGTTGTGGGTGATTGAGTCGTCATCCTGAAATCCACTGGTGTCCCAACTGAGTCAGTACCCATATGAGAATGAAGCAAGTTCAGCAAGGACGCCAGTCGCAGACCGGCCCACACAAAGCAGCACCTTGCTACACCACCGCAGCCACCGGCAAGGCACCCACACGTACCGCTTCCACCAGCAACAGAAGCGTGCCAGGAAGGAGCTGGGAGGGAGCCTCACCAAGAATGCCTGGGGTCTCCCTGGAGAAAGAGTAAGCTCTGAAGTATGACGAGCAAGATGCGAGCTGGCGCACGGCGTCACTTACTTAATATAAAGTGACGGTGTGAGACAGCACATGTGTGGAGCACAAGATACAGGGGGTGCAAGTGTGGAATGGGCTTACAGGGAAATAGAAATGCGTGAAAGCTGAGGAGGCAGAAAAAACGTGCTCTTTCCTTCTCTGTGAGCTGTCCGTTCATGTCCTTTATTTTTCTGCTGGTTTTAGGTTTTGCTTATTGATCTGTAGCAGTTATTTATTTAGTCTTGTATCACATATGTGTACATATGTGTTCCTACTTCGTATTTCATTTTTTGGCTCTGTTTATGATATTTTTTTGCCATGCGAATTTATTTAATTTTTACACCATCATTTTTTTCTTGTAGCTCAGCTTTTGTTATCCTCAGGAAAACCTTTCAAATTCCACAGCTATTGTTCAGATTCCTCCATTGCTCCTAAACTTTTATTGTTTAATGCGCCTGGAATCTATCTTAGGGAGCAGTGAGTGAGGACCTGATTTACCTTTTTTCCAGACTACTCCCCATCTCCCCATTTGCATTAGCTGTCTGTTGCTGTGTAACCAACCGCTGCAAGACCTCGCACCTTAAACATAGTGACCTTGCAGTTGCCCTGGGCCGGAGCCCGGGGCAGCCGGCTGGTACCTCTGGCCGGGGTCTCACACCATCTGAAGGCTCTGCTGGGCTGGGGGCTCTGCTCCCACGCAGCTCCTCCCATGGCTGTGGGCAGGAGGCCTTGGTCCCTTGCCATGTGGCTCTCCAGGGCTGCTCGAGTGTCCTCGTGACACGGCACTGGCTCCCCAGAGCGAGAGGTTTCAGGAGAGCAGGAGGGAGGGTGCGGTGCCTTTCTGACCAGATGAGGCCTTTACATAGGTAGCAGCAAGGAGCTGCCTGAGATGCTGGAGCAGAGCCCTGGGCCATCCGCCCTCCCCTGAGAGCTGCCGCGTCCAGGCTGGGCAGGCCCAAGGCCCCGGGTACTTGCCCTGCACCGTCGTCACCTCTGCTGGCTCACAAGATGGGCTCCCTGAGGAACTGCCTGGGGCCCTTTGTGCAGGGGCTGCTGGCGTCCTTTGCTGTGACCCTCAGGGATGAGCGGGGACAGGGATGCCACCCAGAGGTTCCTCAGGAGTGTGTTTGGGTGGCTGAGGTGCCACCCGCTGAGGTGCAGTGGAGCCCAGAGATGCACCGTTTTGTTTTTTTTACTAGTGCAACTTTCTCCCACAATTTTGAAGACTGTAGGTGTCTTGAGCTCCAGGCTTTCTGTGTCCCAAAGGGGACTGGATACCAGCCTGTGCCCACGAGTGGGTGCCAGGGACATGGCAGGTGTCTCCGTTCTGATAAGGGAGATTGTTCTGGCTGGGGCAGGAGGGCCAGGCGAAGACTCTGTGTGTGTGAGCCCCTGAGCTGCCCCTGTCTCCTGACCTGTCCCTGCCCCCTGACCTGCCTCTGCCCCATCCATCCCGTCCCCTGGAGCAGATCTGTGTGCCTGTGGAGTCGGCCAGCCCCCTGGTGGTGAACAACCAGAAGGAGGTGCTCCGCTGCTTCACCGAGTTGGGTAAGCGGCCAATGGCACAGAGCCTCGGAGGGTTGGGGGTGACCGGCCTTCATGGTCCAGCTCTGCCTGGGCCTCGTGTGGTGCCCTGAGTCCCGAGCAAGTGCTCTCCCCAGCCGGTTTGGGGGCGCAGGCAGAGGGGAACTGGGACGATCCTTACCGCTTGTGACGTGTGCTCGCCCTGCAGCGTCCTGCTCGCCCGACCGCCTGCTGGCCTTCCTGCTGCCCAAGCTGGACTCTGGCAGCGAGAGGACCCGCGTGGGCACCCTGCAGGTGCTGAGGCACATCATCAACTCGGCTGGTGAGTGACTAGGGCAGCTACTGGCCACCTTGTCTGAAAAGGAACATCTTACTTTGAAGGCTTTTAAAAAAATGCTTCCCAACCCTGTCTTGCAAAACTGCAAACTTTTTTTTTTTAAAGATTTTTATTGGGGAATTGGGGGATGGGAACAGCACTGGGGAATTGGGGGAAGGGGAACAGACAAGTTGCTGTCCTTTTGT